CAGGAATTTTCCCTTTTCTAGCACGACCACAATCCGTTATAGCTAGGTTGGGTTTTTTTAATACTTCTTTTGGAAAGATGATTTAGCTATTCAGTGTCCAAAATAATTCATCTTCCTCAGGACCTGTACTGTAAATTTTTCACAAACATGTATTTGAGCACGTAAAGGCAACTCCTTCTGGCTGTGCATATTTGCAAATGTGAGTAACGTCTGCTAGTTATGATATTTGGGGATTTTTCAGGTTAGGAAGCAGGGACATAAACCATGAGCTGTAGCCATAAATATTGGCTGAACATGCAATGCTGTGTATTGTGTGTGAAATGCTCAAGAAACCCCAAAGCTGCAGCATTTGAGTCTTGAAAAAATGACTTTGTGGAGGAGTTTCTGCAGATTGAGCTGTCAGTGGATGAGTTTCCCATTTCCCTACGGGAGACAGGCTCTGGTTTAATGGGAATGCCCCCCTGGGACTGCTAATCATGAAATATGATTCCTTCCCATTTCCATGCTCATCCAGCCTTCTCTTACTTGCCCTCCTCAGGTGAGGGATCTCCCTCCTGGGAAGTGGGAGCTGAGTTCAATTTGCTGCTTCTCCATCCTTGGACTTTCTGTTGGCAGAGCTCACTGGTGCCAGCTCAAATCATTCCCTTCTTTTCTGTGTCTGATCCTTTGCATTGGCTGAATATTTGGATAGACTGAAATCACCTCTCTGGGTTCAGAGAGGCTGTTTTAGTGCAGCTGCAAGCTATGAGTTACTGGAGTGGATGATTATCAGAGGAGTTGCAGAGGGAAAGATTTTATAACTAATCTGACAGTTTAATGTATATATATATATATAAATTAAAATATATAAAAATATATTAAAATATATAAATATAAGGGGACACTTAAATCTAAAGCCAGACAAGCATCTTCAATTCCCACACGACCCCTGCTGTCTCTGCAGCAGAGACTCCCAGCTCCTCACCTTCCCTGCTGGTTTAGGTGTCCTCTCTGCATGTACAGTATAGTCTTTTGAATTTGATATCATTTATCTGATGTGGTTTTGTGGCCTGACTGTGCAGTGGGTCTGTGTGGGTCTCAGTAAAGCACCACACAGGTTTTGTCTGCCACCTGCAGCAGAGCAAACTGCAAGAGGTGGGAGGCCCCATTGCATCAACCTGTCAGCAAAGCTGCTGCTGCTTGGATGCTCTCAGGAAAGAAAAGGAAGGCAAATAGCTCAGGAAATACACCCTGGCCTTCCTCCAGCCACTGTCTCAGCAGGATGTGCCCAGCACAGTCAGGTAATTAAAGGTCACAGCAGGTTTGCAGGGCAGTGGTGCAGAGAGAAAGAGTCTTTCCTGACACCCTGACAGGGCTCAGATGCTGCTGATCCTCCTGTCCGTGCAGGCTCTTTCCAATTCCTGTCACATTGTGTCCAACAACTGACCATTTCTTGAGCTCTAATGCTAAGAGGTGTAGATCTGTGTTGTTTTCTTTATAATTTTTATTCATACCACACACAAGCAATGGCTGTGCAGGAGCTGGGAGGAGCTGGTCTGTGGCACCACTCCTTCCTTGCATGTGGAGCTGCTGAAATCCCTGGCACAGCCAGACCTTGTGTTTACTGGGGCTGCAGTTGACCCCTCTGTGCAGAATGGCAAAAACAACCACAAGTAAAGCTTTGATGTTTGCAACTGTCTAAACCCAAAGTGCTTTTGCAGATGCTGAGGGAAGTGCAGATCAGTTCCAGATGCGTGGGGGCTCATCCGTGAAGCTGTATTAAATCACAGAATCAGAGAATTGTTAAGGTTGGAAAAGCCCTCTAAGATCACCAAGTCCAACCATGAAGCCAGCACCACCATGTTCACCATCAAACCACGTCCTCGAGCACCACATCCACATGTGTTTTGAACACTTCCAGGGTTGGTGACTCCACCACTGCCCTGGCAGCCCGTGCCAGTGCTCCCAAATCCTTGTTCCTGACAGTGCCCTTCCTTTGCAGCAATGCTGTGACTGCTGCAATCTGGGCCTGAGACTGAGGAGTGAGGGCAAAACCTGCGAGTCCAACATCAACCTGGGCTACCCCTGCAGCCATGTGATGCTGTCCTGCTGTGAGGGGGGGGACCACTTCATCCATCCAGAAATCAAAAGGCATCCTGAGCCTTTGCCAACAGTGACACCTGAGAAGGGTAAGTGCCCATTTATCATTTGGAGACATACAGACAAGGTCTGTGTCACAAGGTCATACAGGGAGGTGCTGGAAGGAGTGATGTGAACAGTTGCTTTGCCTCTCAGATCAAGTATAGGTTGTTCTTAAAACACTTTTAAAAAAGCAAAGAATATGTGGATGTTTCTGATCCTTAAACAGACCTTCTTGAGCAGTTTGGTGTTTTGTTTGGTTTTCCCCCCTGAGTCACACAGTCCAGAGGCCTCCACCAGCCCTCCATAAGGAGCAAACTGAAGGTGTGTTTTAGCAGGAGCAATCCTGCAGGATTCTGTGTAAAGCAAAGGATGAGTTTTGTCCACTTGAAGTAATCCCGTGGACTGTGATATCAATGAAACATCCTGGGAGTAGATTTTCATACAGAATGGCAGCTTTCTCACAGCACACTCTGGAACAGCCCCAGAGCACTGCAAGTGTGTTTTCACACTTTAAACATATAAACATAGTGATGCTGAAGAGCTAAGGCAAATCCTGCAGCCAAAGAGCCCTGACAAAGGGAATGTGGCAAATCTGGAGCTTGGACAGCCATGAGGCTCAGCTCAAGATCACCTTCTCTCTGGCATCACTCTGTACCCACCTGTCACATGGATTTCATGGTAACCTCCTGCATATGTGAGGGTACAATTTTGGTCTCTGTTCTCACGAACTAAATGTGTACTTTCTCTCACCAACAAGGGAAAAGGCTTATTTAAGAAAAACTGGCTGAGAAACTCGCTGAACAATTCATTTTGGTGTCACAGAAAGTCTTGTCAGACTTGGTTGGGGATGGAAAAGGATTGTGTTCAAAAGCAGTGGATAGGGCAGCCATTCACTGCTCAGTGGCTCCCAGGCTGTTGGTGATGCTGGTACAGAAGGAGCCATCAAATTGTGGTGTTGAGAAGAGTTTCCAAACCAACTGGGTGCATTTTTCTCCTGAAATTTGAAATTCAATGTGGTTCTTCTGTGGGGCTGATTTCAGATGAGGCTTCAATGTGATACCTTAGTTCAAATATCAATAGCAACAGTGTTGGCAGCCAGTGTGAAAGGGGAGCTTGTGACCTCCCAGGGTCTCCCTGTTTCTCAGAGGCTCCTGTAAAATGTCTGTCCTTCCAGCTTTACGGAGGGAGAAGGTGGACCTTCAGCACAGTGGTGCTATTCCAGGATGGGTTCATTTGCTCTGTCCTTGGAGTAACTGTTTTGGGTAGCTCTGCCTTTATTTGGAGTTTGTGTGACCAAACACCCCATTCTATCCAGCCCCACTGCAAAAACACCCATCAGAGAACCCACAGGTGCTGTTCTGTTGTAGTTTCAGAGAGGGAAGATCACAACGAAGCTTTGTCCATCAGCAGTGAGGCTGAACTGTCCAACAGCCTGCCTGGAGACGACCTGGATGAGTGTCTCCTCTATGGTGGGGAGCTCTGCCAGCATTTGTGCATCAACACCGTGGGCTCCTACAAGTGCTCGTGTTTCCCAGATTTCACCTTGCAGGATGATGGGACCAGCTGCTCTCCAGGTGAGATGGGCAGGGAACACCAGGAGTGCCAATATCTTTGTGTCACCTGCATTGCTCTTCCGAGCTTTTCTTTAGTTTCTCTTTGGTTTCCGTGAGGTTATTTTTGGGTGTTGATGCATGGACGTGTTCTGTAGAAATCATAAAATATAAAGAAAAATAATAATTTAGGAAACTTAATTATACTGTATTTTTGTGTTTTGGTGGCGTGAGCTCAGGGTGGTATTTCATATGTTCAAATTAAAAGTGTTTGCACTTTTCAGAGGAGGATTTCTAAAGGTTTTTAATGAATTATCTTTTCTTCTCAGAGAAATTTTGTCTTTCACAGTTAGGTTTCCTTTAGATAAACTTAGTTCAGACAGAATCAGCATTGCTTCCTGAGCTTTGATTTTTATCTAAAATCATTAACATCTTTCAGTGATAACAAACTCTAAATTTATCTAGTGTGGTGGAAGTCTGGAAAAGAAAGTCTATTGTATTGTAATTGTTTTGATTTCTGCAGTTCTCCAGTGGCAGGATTTCAAATCAGATAACCCGAAAAGTTGAAACCTTATATTAGTTACAAGTGCTTTCAGTTATTTAACGAGCAAAACCAGTGTTTCCATCCAATGACAGAATTCCTTAGGCTTCCCAACTCTCTGTCCAAGCCAAACAATGAGCATTTATGTCATCCTTCTCGACGTGGTGTTACATCAGTGGTGTCTTTGACTGTTCCTGTGGCAGCTGTCTGCTCTGTTGTTTGAATTAAAGTTCTGGGGAAGGAACCTAATCCAAAAGGGGCAAAAGAAAAGGTTCTTATTTTAGCACTGCAAAATTTGGCTCACCTGGAGCATGTGTGTGCTTTTGTTTGGCTTTGCTTTGCTTTGCTTCTCCCCCCACCGACTGGGGCTGAAGTGCAGATTTGGGTGAAGACATCCTGTTATCCTGCCAGTGTTCTTGCAGATCTGCAGGACTGTGGTGCCTGTGGCTGTGCCAAGAAGTGTGGAGGGGTTTGCAGAGCTCAGCTGGGGTAGAAACTTGTGATGAGGGGAGAGGACTGTGTGTGGGACACCTGAGATGGATGGGAGGAGCAAGGGAAGGAAGGGTTGATCATTGCTGGGTCATTCCTGGGTCAAATTAAGGGCAGGTTTGGGTTGGATCTTAGAAAAAGGTTCTTCCCCCAGAGGCTGGTTGGGCACTGCCCAGGCTCCCCAGGGCAGTGGGCACAGCCCCAAGGCTGCCAGAGCTCCAGGAGGGTTTGGATGATCCTCTGGGGCACAGGGGGTGACTCTTGGGGATGGGTCTGTGCAGGGCCAGGGGTTGGACTGGATGATCCTTGTGGGTCCCTTCCAATTCAGCACATTCTCGGATTCTGTGGCTCTGTGAACCTCACTGGTTACACTTGGCTAAACCACATGTGCTCTGCCTGGCCTTTTATTTCTCGTTTGTCCTCTGTGTGTGTGCCCATCTCTGGTATTTCTGGGGAAATCACTCAGGCTGTGCCACAAGCAGGTGATTTTGTTTGTCTCTGTGCCACAGCCCATTGTATGTCTGTGATGACTTTGGTTTTTTTTCATGAAATCACTCTTCCCATCCCCCAAACCTGCACTGCAATCACCCTTAGTCATTTATTGTTGTCATTGTTTGGTGGCTCACACTTTGCTCTGGGTGACACTTGAACTTGAGTCAGTGGGAACAGGACACCTCCCTCTTAAGGAAGAATTCAGCCTTATGGATTTAGGCTTCTGTTTTGGTGATATTGATAAACTGAATTACTCTTATTGATGTGTCAGAGCTCTTTTTTTCCTGATACCTTTAACTTTACTGTCTGATGGAAATCTTAATGACAGACAGCAGCTGTCATGTTTTCCCCTTGGCTGTACAAAAGCCATTCCAAAATATCCTGTGCTTATAAAGGTGAGTGTCTGCTGTTCATCTGTGTTGAAATAGGATGGACAGAATAAGGTCAAAGGCTTGTTTTGGGTTTGGATTTCTTTTCCATCAAACACTGAATGGAGGACAGCCACTGTATTTACAATATAGCAGAGATTTTTAAAAACAAAATTACCACTTTCTGGTTTATTCAGATGTTGCAATATTTTACTCCACGGAGGTTGTTTTCAGCCAGGCTCCCTGATCTGTAATCCATGATGATGTTTCCTCCTCCAGACCACGATGGGGTGGGATGGATGGGACCAGGCCCCTTGCCACGTGGAGTGGGGATGGTGCTGTCCCTGATCCTCTCTGCCTCCCTTGCCTTACAGATCCTGACAGGGCACAGGTGACAAGGCTGGAAGCTGAAGCCACCATCCCTCCAGTAGCCTCTCCCTCTCAGCCCATTCTGGTGGTGTCCTTGCAGGAGGAGCAGGACCAGTGTAAAGGTATGTTGGAGGTGGGAAATACTCCTGCAGGGAGTGAGGAGTGTCTGGAGATGGAATAAAATTCCACTCATCCCTCCCCCAGTCTGATCTCGACACACACCCCTAATTTGTTACCTCTGGCACAAGGCTGAGGAATTGTCAGGGGAATTCCTGAGGAAGGAATTTGGAGCTATACTCTGCCTTCAGTGTAATTACCCCGTTGGTGTGAGGGGAGCAGTGCAGGGAGGGTGGCACAGGGGGTTGGGTGCCGGGGGAGGGTGGCACAGGGGGTTGGGTGCTGGGGGAGGGCTGTCAGCAGTGATTGGGGCTGTTGGACACGTTGTTTACAGACTGCACTCCCTGTTGCCTAAGCTGGGATGGTTTTTGGGACCTGGAGGTGTGTGACTGCAGCTGATCCGTGCTGTGGGTACTGATGTGGTTTGTGACTGTGCCTCGTGCAGATAACGGGCCCTGCAAGCACCTCTGCAACGTGGTGGAAGGAGAGGCCGTGTGCTCCTGCCTGGCTGGGTACACCCTCATGGCTGATGGCGTGTCCTGTGAAGGTAAGTGCTCACCACAGAGAGGGGGTTTTATCTCTCACCCCCCTGGGTGTCCCTCTAAGGGTTCCTCATTGTCATGCTGTGAATTGCAGTGGCAGTGCAGAGACCACTTGGCAGAAGGAATCCCAGACCTGCTCCACAGATAACTCCTGAAGCACAGTGTGCTGGGACCTGGGGACTTCAGGTGAAGGCAAGCCTGGATTTGTGCTCTTTTCCTCTGACATTCCAGGCTTTTCTTCAGCCCTCTTGGTTTCTCTTCCCACTGCCATTCCTCCCCAGGGTCTGTCTGCACAGCTATGGACACGCAGCTTTTCTTTCTGGAGCAGTGAGCAGGACGGGGGCAGGTTTGCTGTCCTGGGGGACCCCCAGAGCCACAGCTCTGCCTGACATCTGCTTTGTTGGGGTTTATTTCCTCTTGCCTTGAAAACCTGAACTCAGGGAGGCTTCACAGCCATGGGAGTTGTTCCACTTGACACTGGAGCTCAGCCTTGCACAGTGATGAGCAGTGAATTCCAAAGCTGCACCATGACCATTCACATGATAGACATTTTAAGTGGACATGCTGGAGTAGTGACAAGGGATATGTTTGGCCAGGGAAGATTTGGGGGTCAGAAGCAATGCCCTGTGACATACCTTAATTATAAATCTCTAAGTGTGGGAGCAGTAACAGTAAATGCAGGGAGAAGCTTCCGATGCTCAGAATTGCTCACAAATGATCCACATCCCTCTTAATCTCAGATCTTATTGAATTACAAATCATTTTCATGAAATTCTGGACAGTCTGTGAAGAAAATGGGATTTTAATATCACCAGATGAAATATTCACGGTGCAGTGCTTACTGAAGTGTGGTGGAAGCTAATTTGATTAATTAATGTCAGAATCAAAAGGGGCATTTCAAGGCAATCGTTTTCCTACAGGAAATGAAAAAATTTATAAATGTCAGTGGAAGCAGTGAGTTTAAATTGTAGCAAGGGCCATTTCTAATCTAAATTACAGCAAGGATTTGATGGTAAGGGTGCACTGGAACAGTGTGCACTGGCTCTGTGGGACTGCCTGCCTGGTTCCAAGGATGTTTCTTTCTGGCATGACGGAAGTGTCGGGGTGTGAGCAAGGACTGGATGATCTCCGAGGGTTTGTTCCTTATTCCAGCCCTATTTTCAGTGTAACACTGCATTTATTACAGCGTGGTGCTGATGTGGAAGCTCCAGCACACTTCGTTCAGACATCTCCAGCGCGAAAGAACTGTTGTTTCATTTCAGCAATTGTTCTAATAGAACTCTGTTTTTCCCTTTTGGCTGCCTCGTGCTGGTGTAGATTTGGATGAGTGCCTCACAGGTGCTTGTTCCAGCGGACAATTATGTGAGAACACACTGGGATCATTCTCCTGTGTCAGCCACAGTGGGATGTGTGCAGAGGGCTTTATTCTCAACAGGCATAGGAAATGTGTTGGTAAGACGAGAGGTCTCAGCCCTTCACCACAACATCATAATGCTCCATGCTCTGCAATGCATTTAAACCATTTGTGCTCCAAGGCCATCCTTGCATATGACATTTCAATCCCAGTTAGTGGAAACACATGTGCACCATTTGCTCAGCCACTCCACCTCATGAGTCCTGTGCTGTTTGGCTCCTTCCCCAGCGATACATCCTTGGGTTACAGATAACTCTGTGCACAGCCAGGGGTGTGATGACCACAGCAGCACTGATAAATCCTCTAAAAAACAGAGAATTGATCTCTCTGGACACTGTCAATGCTTCCCAGGCACCGTGGAGCAACCAAACTCCAGGAACACAGCTCAAGGGATCTGCGTGAGGCCAGGCAGTGGAAAAGATCCGTTCCAAAGGGATGGGATTCTAAACTTCACATCAGTCCTTTGTTGATTCTGGCACAGATTTCTTTGTGTAAAAGTCAAAGATGCATTGTGATTCTGCTGTATCATCCCTGCTGTTTGAGTCCATCTGAGAAACCAGTCGATCTTTACAAGTGTATTTACAAGGTTTTAATTTTTTCCCAGCAGCCAAAGCCTGAGCTTATGAAATACTTTCTCTTTTGGGCACTTTTCTAGAGGCTGGTTTAGGAGGCACCTGAGCTGCAGCAGTGCTGCCTGGAAAAACAGCACCTGGAGACCTCAAGTCATTTCTGGAAGCAGCAGTGCCTGTGACTATAATGTCATGTGTGGATGCATGTGCCTTCTTCCACCCCTGTCCTCCTCCCCACGTTTAGAACATTGTTTTTCTGACCATCACAGCTTAGGTTTTGTTCTGTCTTTAAAGCTCTATGACCTCATCTTACTAATGAGCACCATGTGGCCTGGGGGCACGAGCAGGAAAATTTTCTGCAGTGTCAGGGTCCGGAGAAGAAATGTGATTTACCACCTTCTGGGTTTTCCTTAACTAGCCAAAATTGCATTTTTAATTCTTTTATTATTATTATTATTAATATTTATTTTGAAATCAGAGATACTGGTAAGTGTGGAAAACTAATGAAATTATTTAGTTTAAATGAAAGGGCTGAGAGCACAGCACTGGAAGGCAGGAGGCCTTCCAGAGGCAGAATCAGGCTGTGAGCTGGAGGGTGGAGCTGGAGTTGCCCATGGTGTGTGTTCTGCTGCATCCACCAGGTGAGCAGCTGCAGGAACTGCCCCTCCTTGTGTTCTGCTTCTGAGTCTTGCCACTTAATTCCCTGATGTTTTCCCAGGACTTTGCAGGAAGGATAGATCTGTCCTTTTCCCCAGCCTTTTGAAACTAAACCAGTGCATGTGTGTCTGCAGCTTTGGCAGGAGCTGCTGTGGCAGGTGCCAAGTGCTTCCCTTTATTCACTTTCTTCCTCTCCCCCGTGACATTATGATAGAGGTTTATTATGACTGATAAAAGATAAACCTCAGGCACTGCTAATGAAAGGAAAGACACAGCTCTCATTTGTGAAGCTGAAAGACCCTCTTCTCCCTCACTAAATACCAAACCTCTGTGTTCCTCTAATGCAAGTGAGTTTTTACAGGTATCCTTTTAAATAATCCAGAAAACTTGGAAATTTCCTTCTTTTTGAACAGATCCACCCTGTGTGCTCCCTGTTGGTATCCAGCTCTGCTCTGAGGGTGGTGCCAGGAGAACATTTGCAGTATTGAACATTTTTTCCTACTTTTCTAGTCCAAGGGGAAAGCCACAAGCACACTGTGGTTTGGGTTTTGTTCACTGTCTCGTTCTGAGATGTCCTTTTCCAGCCTCACTGCCTTTGTGCCACACCTTGAGCTGTCTCACACACCACGAGGAAACCTTTGCTAATGTGTTTGCAAAATCCTCTTGGTTTAATGATGTTACTCTTTGCATATTTTAGGGACAGGGAGGAACAATCTGTGCACAGCAACAAACCAGCTGCTAACCTTTTATCTGTCGAATTTCCTGTAGTCAAACTGTGGAATTCCAGACATCCAGGATTCCTGAAAGCCAACCATGCACAATGAGGAGTCACCAGCTGTTTAAATAGCTCCCACACCCCACCTTTGTGCCACTTTGAGAGCAGATAATAAAATGCCTGCAGGCTGGAAAGCTCCATGTTCCCCAGAGATAAGAGCCAGGCTGGATGTTGTTAGTGGGAATTGCTTTTCCTGGTGGCTTTCAGGCAGAGTCATTACCACCACCCACTTACACAGTGACTGTTTTACTCCTTTCTTTGCTACTCCCATCTCAGTTTCCCCTCCTGACAGGGGGAGCAGTGAGTGGCCACGTTATCCCTGAACTTTAGGGCTCTGCCTGAGCACAGGAGGGGTGTTGGAAAATAACCACGTGCCTAAATTACACAGATATATCCTATAAAACAAATAGAGCTGAAGCAATTTGAAGAGGAAAAAAATAAGGATAAACTACAGATGCAGGACAAGAAAAGCCTCCATTTCACATTTTTATAGAAAGGCCATAAAAATTCATTTTTAATGTCAAAGTACGTTTTGAAACAAATAGCACGAGGTAAATGTTGATATTCCTTATGCCAGCAACAGATGGGTCAGGGATCCTGTGTATGGTGCTGTTTGCATCCACAATTCCTGGGAAAAAAGGAGATATTACATGATTACATTTCATCCTGGGTTTTGCTGACATAAAATGAGGAATTAATAAAGCCACTGCCACACACATGACTGTGGAGATTTCTTCAAATTAACCTTGTGACTTGTTTTTAATATAGTACTGAAGTATTTTTCCTCTTATTCCTGTTTTTTTAAATAAATATCATCTTACCCTACCTCACAGTCTTAATTGGCTTGGATGAAGACTACAGCTGGTCCAGTGTTGGAATTAACTGTGTTCCAAACTGAAAACAGAACTCCTGTTATTCCTCATCCTCTTAAGCATCTTACTGACTTGTTGGGTTGGCTTCCAGGACTGAAGAGACACAGGTTATGGGCACTCTGGATTTTATGGAACATTTAGGAATTTAATTAGAAAAATTAACAAAAAAAGGCATGTTTGTTTGATTAACTGGAAAGGAACTGTGGTGAGCTGGCAGCTGGTCTGATCTCAGAGACAGAGGTTCATGCCCTGTCGCTGGGCAGAGCTTTGCATGCCCAAGGCTCAAGTTTAAGCCTTGCACCTCAACCCAGTTCACAGTCTTTGGGCTTTGTCAGTGTATCACATGTGCCCAAACCTTCCACTGAAAACAAAATTCTGGATGGAATCTGCCAGTTTCCATCATTTTAATTTCCCCAAATGTGTTCCAGCCAGTTCTATGTGTTTTCTCCCGTACTCAGAAGTAAATTGAATCAAAAAATAGAGACAAAACATGGAGCTGTATTAGATTTTTTTTTCTCTGTGAAAAAACCTTCTTTGTCCCTGTTTACACCTGCTGGTCAGGTGGAATACTTCCTCCCTTCTTTGGCTGTATTTCAGGCAAGCACACTGTCCTCCTGGTGCCTGTTTTGACATCGTGCTGGACTGACAAGTTTTCAAGATGCAGTGTGGTGTTCAAAGTTTGTTTATATGAGAGGTTTTTTTCTGGTTTGCAAGAAAAGATAATCTCATATCTTTGGTACAGCCAGTAGAGAGGCTTGCACTGTGTTGGGTGCTATTAGGTGGATTATCCATAGCTGGTTTTCTCAACAATTAATTAATAAATCTCAAATTTATTTAGGAATGAATTCTAGTGAGGTGGGAGAGTTCTGCCACAGCACCTGATATTCTTCTCCCAGCGTGAGGGATTTTTTTGTTTGTGTGTTTTGAGTGTGGGTTTTTCCCCTCCAAGATCACCCATGAGAATATTGCTCCTTGCTCTTCATCCTGATGTACAGAAACTGCACTGGGAGGACAGAACCCTGTAGAAGCTTTGGGGCCCCTCTGTGGGAGTATCAAAGATCCTGTGGGACAGGCAGAAAGATCCAGGTGATGGTGGGGACCTTGCAGGGTTTCACCAGCTGGCTTTGGGAAGCAGGTCCACAGCATGGAAAGAACAGCAATAACAAACGAAAAGAAAACACAAATAAATGAGAAGTGAAACGCCACCAAGTTCATGTTGTGGCCTTGCAGAGCTCAGTGCATGTCACCAGTTAGTCCATCAGGAACTGAAATGTCTTGGTGCCCCTGTTCATCTGTTTGGTAGAAAACAAGCTGAGATGTTTTTTAAGACAAAAAGCTTTTAAAAATGCCTTTTCCTGTTTTCGTGTTCCACAGAAGAAGTCATATATCTGATGTACTTATCTGAGAATGAGGTTCTACAGCCAAAATGAAAATCTAATTTAAACAATACTTGCTTTATTGTGTAGTATGAAAACAGCTTCATGCACAGAGCAGCCAGATGACTGGTAATGGCTCTGGTCACATTTGGCTTTTGTTAGCTCTGGAAATACTCCTGAGCTTTCTATAGAGCTGGGAACATGGGGGATTTTGTGGAGATTGGCAAGAAAGTTTCTCTTCCCAGTCTCTGCCCTTTTTGTAACTTCTAGGTATTTGCTCATCATGCTGTTCCAGCTTTCATTATTAACATCAGCAAAACCTGAATTTGAGATGATTTCAGCCCAGCCTATCAAAGGTGTTTCATATTCCTTTCCTAATTGTCCTACACTCTGCAACCTTGTGTTTAAGTGATATTTTTTTAAAAAAGAACTTTTCTCCTACTCCACCTGCTGAAATCAGATCTCTTTAAAGATTGAAATAGGAATTTGCAACTTGATTGAGCCCCCAGGGTTCCTCTCTCCCTGTGTTCTTGCTATCCAGTTCTAATGAGGCGTTCCTTAGGAAATGGGTGTTTGGATTCCTCCCCCTCAGCAGGGCAGGCAGCTTCAGAACCCATCTCTTGCAGCAGTTCCAGCCCAGCAGCTCCTGCCTGGCCTGGAGCAGCAGGACTGATAAATAGCCTGGGCTGTGAGAAGCTGGTGGGGAGCAAAAAGCATCAATCACTTCCTCATTCATTTGTCCAGGGCGTTCCCATCCAGGAAATCCAGTAACCCAGTGGCTGATCATCAATCCTCTGCCCACCCTGCATTCAATCAGTTCTCTCCATCCCTGTCCTCAGTGCCTGCACCATCCATTTGGGAAGAGGGGAGGAGAAGGAAATCTCCATGGGATTTGTGTCTCTTCAGTTACTCTCGAGATCTCGAGTCACTCATCACATCGCTGTAACAAAGCCTACACTGACCATCTTTTGGAAGAAATGGTTTCACTGGAGCTTTTGACTCCTTCCAAAAGAGCAGGAAGAGGGGGATCACTTGATAAAAGTGTGGCACTGATTGGTTTAACTCTTTGTTGCAGACATTAATGAGTGTGTGACAGAGAGACACACCTGCCAGCGCAGAGAGCACTGCGTCAACACCATGGGCTCCTTCAGGTGCCTGCAGGAGCTGACCTGCCAGCCAGGCTATGAGCTCAAGGATGGGGACTGTGTTGGTAAGACAAGTGTTTTTCAGCTGTTACAGAAAGGAAGGGAAAGGGATTGCAAAGGATTTTGTTGTTGCTGCTCTGGGATATGAGGGTTGTAGCTACAAAAGGCATCGTGGAGGTGTTGGGCTTTGTAGGCCCCTTCTGTACATTCATTTATTTGAAATAGTTTCCAGTGATAAATTATTTAGAAAATGGGTGAGACCTTGTGAACTAGGATTTGCCCTGTTTTTAAGGCATTAGAGAGAGAATTCCCTGATGGAGGAATTCCCCTTAACTCTGCCTGGCTCTGCTGTGCTCTGGAGGGGCTGGTGCTGTTTGCTGTTGGATCACAGCCTGGAGGGCTCACGGGCTGACAGCCCCAGCCTTCCTGTGTTCAGGAGAGCTGCCTGCACTTATTTATGCTTGGAATGGTCGTGGGGTTAAGAAGTTATTCTGCATCTCCCCCATCTTGGACTCTGGAGGTGTCTGACAGGGCAGGGAACATCAGCCCTCGAAGCAGCAGCTGCTGGGCAGCTCAGGAGTGTGCAGGACACCCTGCCCTGCCTGCAGGGCACAATCAGTGCTCTTTACTCCTGAATTTTCACCCAGTTCCCTGACAGCTGGAGTAAGAGATGCCCAAGGGAATATCTTAGCCTTTGACACAGAACATTAGGCCATAAACCAGAAATTACCAGCAATCTCCCTGTCATAAGTAAAGCTTGGTTTGCATAAGGAGGCTGTTTGTGTCTTGTTCAGTTGTCTCATTCTAGAGCATTTCTAACATTTATTGCTAATCTAATTTACTTTCTAGTCTTAAAGTTAGATTATAGGGGATTATAAAATTTACAAATTGTTTTAAAGTAGCCTGTAAATTAATGACTTATAGGAAAGGCTAAAATTTCAGAAGTACCCTATGCAAAATTTCCTACAGGTAACTACCAAATCTTATTTTATTAATTTGAGGTTTATGAAATACTCATTTTTCTTTGTCTCAGTCTGTAGCTGTGGTAGGCAGAGTTATTAATACAGTGCCTTGTGAGGGACTGGTGACGTTCCCTCATGACCTTAACATTTAATGAGGAGTTGGAGTAGAAAGAGAAGTGCCAGCAGCTCTCCCCTTGTCTGCCTGGAGGAGTGGGGACTCCTCCACTGGGGACTTCCTTCCATTTGTCTTTACCTTCTAGTGAAGATATTCCTTGGGAACCAGCATGTGTTAAAGCACCATTTGAAAATGTTCACAAGAGCTGAATTTTGAGCATATTTATAGCTGAGTCTGCTCCAAGGTGGGGTTTCTTCAGCTGGAAGCTGGAAGCCACACCCAGTGACTCAGCACAGAGCAGCTGGGTGTAAATTTATAAGTTTGAAACTTGCGGGAGGTGTTTTCGACATCTCTAGAAAGCAAACACTGAGTTGGTGAACATAACTTGGGAAATAATTTCATATACTTAATAAAAAATGAGAAAGTTGTGGTGGGCTCTGGCTGCAGAGTAAGAAAAAAAGCAAAATTTGCTACCAATATTACTGCCTCATTTAGATTTTTTCCACATAGTTTTACGAGCTGGGTAAGTGGGTTTTGTGTGTACATAAGTATATATATATGTATATATATATACACCTACATGACTGCATGTCTGTGTGTACACAGTGAAATCCCAGCCCTTCACACAAGGTTACCTATGAGTATCAAATTCAGAGGAGGCAGGTTTCTACATCCCTGAATTCCTGAGGTATATAAGGAATAAGAGCCCATTTTGCTTAGGAAAGGCTGTGGTACATATTTATTATCAGCACCTGATTTGTAGTTTTAATGTGGATCTTTAGGATTTTAAAACTGCAGGTATTTTGGTATTTGTGGGTTACAAGAGATGCTGCAAACGAGGCAGTAGGGACCTGAGTCAAATTTGCTGCAGGACCTGACAGATCCTGAAGCCTGTGCTGAAGTGGATGTCCAAGAGCACAACTAAACCTCAGATTTCCCACTGGCAACATGTGGCTGGTTTAAATAGTGCCTCCTAATTTCCTTAGTCATGAAAATTGCTGAAAGTTAGAGCTCAACTAATCCCAGTTTGCTGTTCTGGTCTGATTAACAGATATCGATGAGTGTGAGAGAGGAACTCACAGCTGCAAAGTCAACTTTGTTTGTCAGAACACAGAAGGGTCCTTCTACTGTGAGTCAAAGCAGCGCTGCATGGATGGGTTTCTGCAAGATCCTGAGGGAAACTGTGTTGGTAGGTGTGACCAGAGTGTGTTTGTAACTCCTGGGCCTTCCAGCCTGTCCAAGGGGGGTATATTGACCCTTGTATACGTGGTTTGCCTCAAACCCTGTTGTGAATTTAATGTAAACATTGCTGTCCTTTAAAGTTATTGCATATTGTCCTTTTAAAGTCTTCCCACAGCAGACCTTCATCAGCCTTATCTTTGGAGCACAAGAAACTGAAATGAAGGAAAAGAAGTGGCAGGTGGAAGAAAACAGGCCAGAAAGGTTAAATAGCATCTCTCACTATTCTAATTCATTTTTTTTTCACCAGATATTAATGAATGCACGTCCCTCCCTGAGCCCTGTAAACCAGGATTCAACTGCATCAACACAGTTGGGTCTTACACCTGCCAGAGGAACATGCTGAGCTGCAGCAGAGGATACCACTCCAACGAGGAGGGCACCCGCTGCGTAGGTAAGGGGGGCTCGGGGTCTGCTCAGGGCCCTTTCAGAGGAAAAAGTACATTTCAGTTCTAAAAAGAGGCTTTGAGTTACCTCCAGATTCCCAAACGTGTTTGAGGAATGGGAATTTTCTGTCGCAGCAGCTCAGGGATTTGTTTGCTCCGTGGATTTCTCCTGGCACGCTCAGCAACGCTGGCTCTGGCTGCAGGTGGGAGTCACTGGCTTCCAGTCTGGAGTGAATGGGATTTAGTTACTTTTTAGGCTCGTGCTGTCAGTCAAAGCCATGATCCCTTGCTGTACATTCCAGCATCTCACTGTGAGTGATGTGATCTGCAGCAATCACTGAGTCTGTGTTCTCACAGGAGTAGCACCAAGTGGATGTTCTTTGTAGGGCTGTGAATGGTGTTCCCCATTACATCCACTTGTGGGGATGTTCAGGATAAATTCCTACGCTGTGAAAAGAATTCAGAGAAAAATGAATGTATGAAATATTCATGTAGGCTGGCATGCAGCTCGATCCTGATTTGTGTTTGTTCCAATGTATTTAGGGAGTTACTGACTCAGAATAGCAGATTTTAGCTGTTATTAGCATTTGTTCTGTAAATGAGCACAGGAGGCATGAAGGAAAGGAAAGCTCAGTCCTTGGTGCCCAAGGCAAGGCTGGCTGTGTGTTCTCTAGTTCCCTGTGTTCTGAGTTACACGAGGTAGGAAATCCAAAAAAAAATGACAGAGGAGGAAACAAAAAAGAAATGAGAAATCAGCAGTTGGGTTAGTGATGATATCCCAGTGATCTCTACCTACCTTCCCTTTGAATAAAAGGAAGGATGACAAAAAACCCCAAATATGCTTTGTGATGCTGCAGGTGGGTGGGAGCCCTGTTGGCAGCCATGAATTTGGTCATGACTGCAGTGAAAAACAGTGGTACAGCCAGACCCTATTTCCCCAGAAACTTCTGTATTCACCTTTTTGCCCTTCATTGTGCTCTGTGTCCCCTCATGGTTTTGCCCCCAGGACTATCCAGACCATGCTCAGCCAGTGAGAAGGTGGGGAAGGTTTGGAAGGGGGAGAAGACAGGGACAGTTCTTGTGTGTAACTGAGGAAATTGAGAAACCTTCCTAATACAGCTCTGGGGTTGTGTTTCATAAATCTGGGGGTGGTGCAGTCTTATTTGCTGTCCTGTTAAAGAGCACCCTGAAGTATCTCAGTAGGTCTAAAGGTCCTGTCCCTCTCAGTTGCTGTGAAGACAATTCTTCAACTGCTTTCCATCAGTCCTTTTTAAGCCAGGCCTGCTGGGCCAGGTACACCTCTGGGAGTGGTGACCCTGACGTTGTTTTTAGGGGACCACCATGCCAGTGTCTCCATTGTTTTCACTGCCTTGCCATCCCTGAGCAGCACAGGAGTCCTGGCTGCAGCCCTTTGCCCTGCCCTGCAGACTGCCCAGGGCAGGGGTGGAATCACCACCCCTGCAAGTGTTCAAAAAACATGTGGATGTGGCACTTGGGGACATGGTTTAGCAGTGACCATGGGGGTGGTGCTGGGTTGACAATTGGACTTGGTGATCTTAGAGGTCTTTTCCATCCTTAACAATTCTGTGATTCTGTAATGACTGGGCAAATCACATTCCTAAATTTCAAATTGATGGTAGAGAAAGAATCCAGCTTTTCACCCCAGTTGTTCCTAAGAAAGAGTGACTGTGTGCCAATATGTGACAGAGGAGGAAATTGCCATTATTCAGACAGCATCTCTGTCTCTAAAGCAAGAGGAGATAGCACAGTGCAATGTGATTACTGATGGCCCTCTGTCTCTGCTTTAAATGGTTGACAAGGTTGTTAAGGAGCAGGTATAAGGAAGCTTCTCTAGCTTGATTTTGGCAAAACATATTTAACGTTAATTGATGATTTCTCTGACTTTGCTGTGTGCACTCTGTCCCTCTTGCTGGTCTATAGCTTTTGGTGTTTTTTTGGAATGGCTTTTTTTAAGTAGGCAGAGAGCACAGAGAAGAAAAAGGAAAAGCATATGGTCCTAATTTCCCCTCTCTGTGATAAAGACTAGTTTCTTTGAGGCATTACAATAGCTAATTAGATTCCTGATTCAGATTTATTCACAGTAGTAAAAACATCATCTGCACATGTTTTTCCAGTAGAACGACACTTGTAGGGTCATCTCCTCTGTTTAGAGGATTCATCTGTCTTTAAAATGTTCAGATTTACTGATTTAGTAAATGAGTTATTAAAAACTACCTCTTAGGTTTAACTGAAAACTGCTGTAAGTATTGTGAAATATGGCACAGTTCTGATGGGGTAATGCCCTAGAACTAATTAAAGTGTAAATGCAATGGAATATGTAATTTTGGACAAACTAATGAAATGGTTGCACACATGAATTCATTACAAATAAAGCTGCTGCTTTACAAATTTGTATCTGCATTAGAGACTTCCTTGCTTTGGTGCCACTTCTGATCTTACAAGAAAATGAGGAGTCAGTGTTTCAGCAGAAATCTTGGAGCCTGTCAGAGATTCCTTGGGTTGGCATTCCCTGCCATTCCTGACCCTGGGGCCAGCAGGGACTGTGTAGGTGGGAATCTGCTGAAATATTGAACAGAGTATTTGTCAGTGCCCCTCATCAGTGTTGATATGATCTCCACTTCTCCAAATCCAAGTTTCTGCTCTCACTTCCCCATCATTCCCTCAGCAGGGTCTGCTTCCCAGAGCACTCGCCAAGCTGCTGTTGGATGGAGAACTGCCCAGGAACCCTTTGAAAGGATTCAGTGCTCAGATTTATGACTTCAAATAGGGCAGCATGGAGAACCTCCAGCCTTAGACTTCCATTCTAATTATTATTACGTGAACAGGGATTTGGGTTGTAAAAGTAGTAGAAGATGTGAATAATGGAAAGAAAGCAGAATCTGATGGTTTAGGAAATGGCAGAACTCTGAATACGTGAAGAAATAAACAATTCTGAGGGTTAATCAGACTTCTTGATGCTTCTTGTCACAGATGGCAAGAGGGATTTGTTGGAGACTGATGAGCTATTTGGTCATGTTGCAAGTCTTGTAAATCAGTGTGTATTGAAAACTCTCATCTTCTTCTGAGGATGTTTAAATGAGATTGGAAGTGATGCATGTGAGTGGAGAAGCAACTAATTTGTTAGTATTGGATTTTGGATGAGAGGCCATGAGGAATATCTAAATGGGAGTTGATTGAGAGAAGAAAAAAAAGATCAACATTGGGAAAGAGCAAAAGTTAGACAGCAGGAGCGAGACTGAAAGGGCAACTGGAGATGAAAATAGCAATTGCTTTAATTGAAGGGATGAGCAGAGTTTCTGGCTGGTTCTTGTTTTGCTTTAAATGGCTTGATGTGAGTCACGGAGAGACAGAACATCACAGGGGGTGTTTAAATGTCAGGGTCTGATCAGCATCAAAAAGTGTTTACATTGAAATGCAGAATATACTGGGGGAGCTCCACTGCAGTTCCAGGATGGTTTCACTGTGAAGATAATGTTCTGCTTTTCAGAGGTTTGACTTACAGACACACAGAGCTGGCTCGGAGAAGAGCAGGGTGGGAAAAGCTGATGGCAGTTCTTCTGTCCAGGGGACAACCATAACAGTTTCTATTCCTGTTATTTATTAATTTTTTTCCCTTCTCTCCTCATAAACATTGATTTTAAGCAAACTACCTTTAAGCAAATTGCTCTGTCTGGCTCTGCAGATGTGGATGAGTGTCAGACTGGTGTGCACCGCTGTGGGGAGGGGCAGATCTGTCACAACCTCCCCGGGGCTTATCGCTGTGACTGCAAGATGGGCTTTCAGTACGACGCCTTCAGCAGGAGCTGCATCGGTATGTGAGGCACGGGGGAGGTGGGAGCACTGACTGATGGAGCCTCGGCCCTCCAGGCACTCTTTAGCACCGTTGCAGTGTGCAGGCATTAGTTCTGCAGTGCAGTGCCTCAGAAGATGATGGAATCACCTCCAAAGCCGATGTCCTACAGCTTAGAGCTCTGTCCCTCCGTGCTGGGATTTCTGACCAGGTGCCCTTGGCTTGGTTTAACTGCAGGTCATTAGTTAAAGTCATCTGCAAAGTATTCCCTGAGGGCTGTGCTTCAGCTGCTGTAGAAATTTGTCTGTCTGAAGATTTCACCACTTTCCTCCTAAGAACCACGAGATAGCCCTTTGTATTTTGTCCCCACTGTACCCCAATTAGGGCACAGAGTCAGCCTCACACCTGAGCTTGCAGCACTTCACACGCTGCCAATCAATCTCTGACACTTTTAAAAATATCCTCCTGCATCTTATTTGATGCTTGTGTTGCTCAGTTGATTGTATATTGATGCTTGTGTTCCTCAGCTGATTGTGTATTTGCTTGTTGTGCTGGCAGATATAAATGAGTGCTGGAACTACCCCGGGCGCCTGTGCCAGCACACGTGTGAGAACACCCCTGGCTCCTACCACTGCACCTGCTCCTCTGGCTTCCGCTTGTCCTACGATGGCAAACATTGTGAAGGTACCAGACATCTTTTTTCTGTGAAGAAGAAACTGCAGAGGGAATTCAGGGACTTTAGAGAAGGAGTTGAGGTGAAATATAGATACAGTAAACCTTATGTGTGCTCAGATTTGCAGATATTCAGTCAAACACTCAACACTCAAACTGTCAGTTGAGCGTTGACAAGTTTCTCCCTTCTTCCTTTCCCTCACATACTTCTGCTTTCCTTTCAGGTGAGAGAAAAGGAGAACAGAACAAACACAGAATAGGAGACTCTTAATTCAAATTTTGATAAAGATGAAACTTGGTAGTAATCAAACTTTAAAAAAAATGATTTTGAATTGAATGGAAATTTGTTGAGTTCTCCGTGATTTTTGTAAGACAATGATTACATGTTTTTAATCGACTGTAGCCCATAATGTCTTCATGTGTGTGTGTTTTATAGATTGGCATATACAGAAATGAAATTCAGGTGCAACAGACAGCCTCAGGCCTCTTGGAGCCAAGACAAACTGGGACAAATCAGTCCATCCTTAGTCACTCTGACCAGAAGGGAGCTGTTTTTAGGGGCAGGAAAAGGTGGGAGACACTGTTGTGAGCCCCTGTGGCCATGTGTGTGGGTTTGTTTTTGGCTGCAGATGTGAATGAATGTGATAACAGTCCCTGCAGCCAGGAGTGTGCCAACGTTTACGGCTCCTACCAGTGCTACTGCAGGCAAGGTTTCCAGCTGGCAGAAGATGGACATTCCTGTAAAGGTAAGGCTGCTGCTCCATCAGCTCAAGGTAAATGTGTTTGTTCCCTGGAGCTGTGTGTTGGCTGACTCTCTGCAGCACTGAATGCTGCAGGTGCTGCCTGAGGGTGATGGTGGGTTCCAGCTGCCCCCGAAGCTGCTAAAGGGAACTCCAGCTATTGGACAGTGCATTGGATGGAACACACCTGGGTGACCATGGAACAAGGGTTTATCAGACTAGTTTCATGGGGCCAGAGCTTATGATTGGAAAAATTGGGTGGGAAGATATGTTTACCTGTGTTGCACCAATGAAAGCCTCCACTCAGCCATGGTTGAGTGAAGGTTTGCTCTTAATGCTGCTCGTGGTGGGTGAATGAGGAGCAGAGTGGTCAGAATGGAGGAAGGAGGGGGTTTACCTGTTTAATTGAAGTTACTGACACTGACACATTGGAGAGTCTCTATTTAAGAAATGGTGAAGAAGCCCACTCTCTTCCTGGCACAAGGAAGCTCCCCAAGAAATTCTGCAAGAATTCTTTGCTGTGGGCACTGGCACAGGTTGCCCACAGAAGCTGTGGCTGCCCCATCCCTGGAAGTGTCCAAGGCCAGGATGGATGAGGCTTGGAGCAACCTGGGCTAGTGGGAGGTGTCCCTGCCTGTGGCAGGTCATGGCACTGGATGAGATTTCAAGGCCCTTCTAGCCCAAACCATTCTGGGATTCTATGAATCTGTGAATTACACAGGTACCAGAGAGAGCCTTTCAAACTTGGATGTGTCCTAGACTCATTATTCTTTTCCAGGAGTCCATACCACTTGCAGCCAGTATTTCTGGGAGCAGTCCTGTGTCCAGCATTCCAGAATGCACCATCAGCAGTCCTCCAGCAACGTGACACTTCCATGGTCGCGTTCATGTTTAGCAATATATTATGAATGTGTCAGATGAGAATTTCCTTGTTCTACAGCTGCCCTTCCCAGATTTCTGTTTTGCTTGGTTTCCCATGTTGGTACCTGTGTTTTCTCCCCAGACATTGATGAGTGCACACAGAGTGCAGGCATCCTCTGCACCTTCCGCTGCGTGAATGTTCCTGGCAGCTACCAGTGTGCTTGTCCTGAGCAGGGATACACCATGGCAGCCAATGGAAGGACCTGTCGAGGTAAGGAGGGACTGCAAGATTACATATCATGAGGCTTTAATCCTTGGAACGAGCCATTATGGTTATTCAGTCAAGCCTCCATGTTTTAGTCACTGTTAAAAAGCCAGTATTTGACAAAGTTGCCAAATACTGGTATCTGCAAAGACAGCTCTCTCCTGTGTTACAAAAGTGCTGTGGCAACTGGGCTGTCAATGTGAGGGAATTGCTTAAATGAATTCCCAAGGGAGCCCACGTCATCCTTCCCACTGGGGCACTGGGTTGCTCGTGTGAGCTGCGTGTGCACCTTGGCACAGCACTGAATGATCTGGGCTTTTAGAGGTGCCAGGTGTAGAAATCTGTGCCTTCATTATGAGTTGCAGATTTCTGCCCCAGAAAACTGGGAGATTAAATGTTGGAGCTGTAATGGGAACTTGGCCATCCAGGAGTTTGTCACCTTAATTATGTTGGCATTAGGAAATGTTAGTGCAACGACAAGTACCCTCCCCTCACCCCCCCCTTTTCTCCAGAACCACTTGAAATGCCTGCTGGGAGTGTGGTGGTTTTCATCTGGTGCACAGCTGTCTGGTTCTGAGCTGAACCCCCATTTCCAAAGGATGCCCTGCCTGTGTAATGATGATGGAAGATCTGATTACCTCTGCACACACTGCATACATTCCTGCAGTGGTTACAATAACTACCAGGCATTTCCTGCCCTTAGTTTTTCAGGAACCCTTCATATAACTTTTGGTTATGTATCTCCTAGGCTTGAATTCTTCGTGGTAATGGCAACGAATTTGCATTGTGTAAATCATGAGCAGCATGTGTGTACTTAATCCTGACTTTGGAGCAGGGAAGCAGATTAAATGACAATTAAAATCCTTAGAAAAGTTTAAAATATTTTTTAGAATGTGTTTTTAAGTGTAAATGCAGTGATATCCATGTGCATTTAAATTCTTATGTAAAAATTCACCTTTAGAAAACTGCAGCTGTAACTCTCCACAGGCTTTGTTTGTATTTTCCTCCTGACTTTGAGTGCTGGCATGTTAGTTGCCACCTCTGCCAGCAGTGAGATTTGGGCTGAGAATGTATTCCAGAGTTAATAGTGTGAGTCACTGTGTTCCTGAGCCAGCACAGCTCTCCCACAGGGCCCCAGTGTGCTCCAGGTGCTGGAGGCAGAGGACAGGGACATCCACCCAGACCCGTGGACTGCACTTGTGTTGTCTGTGTGGTGGAACCCTCCCTGCATGACCCTCACCTGTCTGGAGAGGCTTCCCAGTGCACAGACTTGCCCAAACAGAAACCCTTGGAAGGGCATTTCCAAGTATCCCTGGACCTGGTCCGGGCACCCTCCTTGGAGGGCGAAGTTGTTCTACGTGCAAAACTCAGCAGCTCTGGAGCTGCAGTTTAGTCAGGCACTGGAAGGAGCCCCCAGACACATTCCCTGGTTTTGAGCTCTGCAAGTGTGTATTACAAGTTAGGGCAGGCTTAGATATTGAGCTCTTTCTGAAAACGTGGTCAGAGAAACACTGAATTGATGTTGGCTGTGCTAAGCTCAGGGAGATAATCTTGGTTTCCACCAGCTAAAGGTCTGGCTCCAGTTACTCATTGTCTGACCAGTTCTTTGGAGTTACTGGTGGCACATTCTTTGTACCTTTAGTTTCAAACAGACGAGCTGTATCTCATGGAACACTGTCTCAACATATGGATCTTTTTTGGAGGAACTGCCTGTGGTATTTTGCAGTGCAGCCAAAGTGGTGCAGGGAGGGAGTGCTTTCATGACAACGATTGCAATGTGGAAGAAATTTTCTTTTCACCTTAGGGGCACTGCTCCGAATCAGCAAGGGATTTACTTTACTTTGATTCTCTCCTACTTCCTATTGTATACTTTTCCTTGCAAGACTTTTAAACCAACCAGTTCAGTGTATGAGATCAGTTCTCATCCCAGGGGAATGGAGGGAGTGGGAGGTTATAGTTTCCCTCTAGGAGTCTGTCTCTTCTGTGACAATTGGCAGAGCTGCAGGGCCCTGCACAGTCCACATGCCTTGTCTGTTAGCATTTATTTCATTTTAAAGCCTCCGTGCATTGTCTAGACTTTTGGGAGTACACAATGTGACTGGGAGATGATCTTTGCCAATGTTTGCTGCTCAAGCTGGATCCTTGATACTGCATCTGTTTCTCAGCATTTTAAGGCCCGTGGCTTGGGCTTGTGGATATGTGTTATTTAGGTAACCATGTTTATGCTCTGGGCCATGAAGTGTCTCTGAGCTTTAAATGTTCTTTACTGCCTTCTGTAATTACATCTCATTGTGGGGAGATATTTATGTATATATCTTAAATGTTCAAAACTGTGTGCCTTGTTCTGAAGTGTTGTTTCACAGTGCCCTGGTAGAGCTCCCATCTCCTGGATTGTGCAGTGAGAACTTTGCTTTGGATTTACTTGCTTTAAATCCAGGTTTAATTTGGTTGCTCTGCTTTAATCCAGAGCAACCTTCATGCACAGATAATTCTTCTAACACAGCCCAAGTTTATCCATTCTCAAAAAGTCAGTGAGAAGGTCCTGTTGGCCTTAGCCTGGATTGGTTCTATCCTGACAGGATCTGTTTGTTCCTGAGGGATAGCTTTTGTGCACTAGGCTGAGAATGCTTAATGTGGAGTCAGACAGAGGGTATCCATGCACACCAGAGTGTTGCTCTGGGGAGGGGAAGGCCCCTTTCAGCTGGGTGATGGGGTGTTTTGTTTCCTCGTGGATCCCGTGCAGCCTCATCCGTGGGAAGGAGCCGTCGCGCTCTCACAGGTTCTGCAGTGAGTGAGGGATTTACAGACATGGCCTCCTTTCCTCAAGGACTGTCCCTCATGCTCCAGGGCTTGCCCACAGTGCCCACACCGTGCCCAAGTCCGTGGCCCTGCTGTTGGAAAGCAGTTGGCTGCTTCCCCAGCCCTGGAGCTGACACACTGCACTGCCCTCACCTGCTGAATGGCTCAGGAGCACCTCGTTGGCTTGGAGATCCCTCACGGGACCCAGGCAAGCTCTAAGTGTGAAACTGGGCTGGTTCAGGGAGTCCCAGTGACCTGTGGAGCTGTAAAAATTGGCCCATCACTTTCAGGAAACTAAAAGCTCTCATCTGTCAGAACAGCTGGGAGAAGCTTATACAGCTGTGGGCTGGTCTGGGACTTCCAGGGTTCCACTGCCTTAGACTACTGCTACCTACTCACTGAATTCTGTTTGCCTCCAGCCTGGCTTTGATATTAGTTACAGCACATCTCTGACACCTCAGGAGCAGGGACAACGTGGCTACACAAGCAAATCTGTCTAGATGTTCATGCTTGGTCTTTCTTGCAGTGGGAAGTGGGATCTCTGGGTTTGAGAACTTTTTTCCCTCCTTGTGTTTATTCTCCACGGAAAGTAAGACCCTGTCTTAGTCAGCTGTTTGTGGATGAGGACAGGTGGGTTACAGGAGTGTGCCAGTGGTTCTAAAGTACAGGTAAAGAAACACAGTTCCCCTGCAGCAGAAGGCCAGCCTGGCCATGTGCTGGGTGGACTCTCTCTGCCAAGCAGAGAGACTGTCAAACACCATGGAAAGGGTCACAAGCTGCTTGTAGGGAAGAGTGGGCTCCCTTGTTTACTGCACACGCTGCCAGGTGGGTCTGTCATCTCTTGTGGCCTGGTATTGTCAAGGAAGGAGGTTTTTTCCATAGAAGACATTTTAGACATTGAAGAATTTTGTCAGAATTGGCATCACCGTGATTTATTCTGTCACTCCAAATGCCAGTGAGTGTCTGTGCACAGAGATGGACCTGACACACCTCACCAGGGTGTGCATTTCCCACCCCAGGTGTGCCCTGGGGTGTTCCCAGAGCCCTGGTCTGGGGCACAGGTACTGTGGAGGTGACACACAGTGGCTGGGGGGTGAGGACGAGAGCCCTCGGCTTCTGGAGCCCAACCCACAGACTCCTCAGGCACACAGTCTCATAAGCAAATCACAGCCCATCAACTGTGATTAATTCTCACTTTTGAACTTAGAATGCCTTTTTCTTGTGTTTCTTCTTAGATATTGATGAGTGTGCAATAGGAACCCATAACTGCTCAACTGCAGAGACCTGCTACAACATCCAGGGCAGCTTCCGCTGCCTGTCCTTCGAGTGCCCTTCCAACTACAGAAAAGTGTCTGACATGTGAGTGTGGCCTTTGGAACAACACCAGCAGCCAGGCCAGTCCTGTAGTGCTTAGTTTGTGGGTGGGTGTAGGTGCTCAGAGATCTGAGAAACTGCTTTGGTACCTGGAGCACATAAATATTCCCCATGTAGTTTGTGTCTGGTTATCCTTCCTTCTTCCAAGCCCTGGAGCCCCCGTTTGCTCCCCAACTGCTGCTGGAACAGCAGGCCCCAGAGCCTGGAGCTCTCCTTGCTGCAGCTCTGAAAGGGCTCTGGTTATAATTTAGTTTTAAAAAAGTAAGATCTTCTATGCTGCTTCTGTCACAGCAGCCAGGCTGCTCAGAGCTCCACTTTTACAGTGGGTTTGGGGCTCCCTGGTTAGTCTTCAGATTGCAGTTCCTCAGGGACTGCTGAAACATTGGAGGAGAGCAGGATACTGAGCTTGCCAGGCCACAGGGTTCTGGGAAGGGCACACCCCCAACTCCTCAGCAGCTGGGGCATGGGAGCCCCAGAATCTCCCTTCCCTTTTCCTGCCTCAGTGTCTGCCAGTGCTTTGGGAACCCATATTTAGTTGCTTATGACTTAAAAAAATACTTTTCCTGCCTTACAGAGTTGAGCTGCTTTGCCAGTTGAGGAGCTTCTTTCCCAGCCCCATGTTTTAGCTACCTTTTCAAGGGTTTTTAGTCTTATTTTCTTGGAGCATTGTCCCAGCCCTGTGCTGTCAGTGAGGAACCACTGACTCCTCTTCCAAGCTCATGCTTTGCAGCATGACTGGCTCTTTCTTTGTTGTGGAGCTTCCCAATGCAGCTCCCCATGTCCATGATCTTTTCCTGGCACTACAGTACAGTTATATAATTTACAAATGCTTTATGGGCACTGGAAAAGCAGAACGAGGATAATCACAGGATAAACTGAGTTGGAAGGGACCCACAAGGATCATCCAGTCCAACCCCTGGCCCTGCACAGACCCATCCCCAAGAGTCACCCCCTGTGCCCCAGAGGATCATCCAAACCCTCCTGGAGCTCTGGCAGCCTTGGGGCTGTGCCCACTGCCCTGGGGAGCCTGGGCAGTGCCCAACCAGCCTCTGGGGGAAGAACCTTTTGCTGAGATCCAACCTGACCCTGCCCTGACAGTCCATTCCCTGGGTGCTATCCCTGTTAATAACACTCTCAAGTTTGGGACTCTGGTTTATGTGATATTTTGCAACAGTCTGAAGCAAATGCATTTTCCTGCTGTCCCTTGGACACTGAAGGCTCTCCCTGTCTCATTCCTCAGGAGGTGTGAACGCATCAGCTGCTTCAACTACCTGGACTGCCAGAACACCCCGGTGAGAATCACCTACTACCAGCTCAACTTCCAGACCAACATCGTGGTCCCAGCCCACATTTTCCGGATCGGCCCCTCCCCTGCCTACGCCGGGGACAACATCGTCCTCACCATCACCCGGGGCAACGAGGAGAGCTACTTCAGCACCCGCAGGCTCAACTCCTACACGGGCATCGTGTACCTGCAGCGCCAAGTCAAGGAGCCCAAAGACTTCCTGTTGGATGTGGAGATGAAACTGTGGCGCCAGGGAACATACACCACTTTTCTTGCCAAGATTTACATCTTCATCACGGCTCACGCGTACTGAGGCCTGTGCTGACGTGGGATTTGATTGGTGCTATGCTCTTTACCTGTTCTACCAAAGCTTAATACTGTTGAACTGGCATTTAATGTATCTAGCCTTTATATTATTTTTCTATCATTGCTTTAAACTTTTTTATTGGTTGTGTAAATTAAGTTAATTTTTATCTTTTGATGTTTTGTTTCCTTGTGCAGTTCTGTGCATCATCATTTGCCAACCAACGAAGGAAGGGTTGGGAGGCAGCACGTGCCTTGTGCTGAATGCTGGAACCTTTTCCTAGCCATTGTTTATAGGTGTAGTCGCCTCTGCAGGGTATTGCACTAGAGAGGGAAGATGTTCACGTGGGAGTATTGGGAAAAAAGCTTTGAGGGCTTTCTCTTGCTGGCACAAAGTCGTGGCTTGGCTCAGCCAGTGCCTTCCCTGGGGTTGAGATGCTGTGTCGGGGCCGTACGTGGACACTGATGGTCACCCCACCTCCTGGGATTATTCTCCTCCTTCCAACTTTCATAATATGTTGCCTTAAAATATATATAAATAAAAGAAAACTCCACCAGTGAAAAAGATGGATGAATCTTGCTTTGGTAGGAACTACTCACATGCTAAATATTTGCAAGGCTGAGGCCTTCACAGAATGTTACACTTTGGGGTAAAAGCTCACATTGCCATTTTTAGTGGTTTTCTTTATAGGTGCTGAGGCTCCTCTGTTCCTCATTCTGTTATATAGAACTATAACTGCAGATTCACTGCTTTGGAATTCTTAAAGGAATATCCAAATGGAAATAATGAAATAATCTTTACTGCTCCTTATTGTAAAGCTTGGGTGTGCCACTGAGGCAATTTTAAACAGACAGAAAGGGCAGTTGCTTCTCTGCTTCAGGAAAATTCCTTCAGTTGTGTTGCTGAACGACACAGAGGGAAAGGCCAGTGAAATTGGTGGGTTGTATTTTGCCATTTAGAAAAGAGCACAACCAAAGTTTTGTGCTGGATTTCCTCTCGTTCTTCAGGAAACTGGATGAAATCCAAAGTTGGAGGCCAGATCTGGCAAAGTGTAGTATAATCAAAGTATTTGTTAGAATTTAGAAGGAATATCAGAACTTCCTTGCAGCTCTTTTCTTTTTTTTATCCCTCCCAAAAAACCAAAAAAGCTCTAGTGTTGCAATTTTCTGAGCTGCCTTTGTTCTAACTCTAATTATTCTGCAAAATATTTTAAAGGAAGAGCATAGTTACAATATACTGATGTCAGCTACACTGCAGTTTAATAATCCTACAGTCCCAGGTTGGAGGGGACCTCAAGGATCATCTGACCCATTCTTGGCAAAATAATAATCTGTCCTTTTCTATAGTCAGTCTTATTTTGACCAGTATGTACACCAAAAAAAAAATAATGGAGAAATCAAATCTTATGGCTTTTTCTGCCTTAATCAATGATTTTATTATACTGTAAAAGATTTGTTTGAGCTGCATCTAAAAATCGCATAAACACCACCTGTATGGTGAGAAGAAATGTTCTGTATTCACTATATCCCCAGGCCAGTCTCTACCACTTCAAGTCACTTCTTGAATTTGGACTTTCTTATTGATAATAAAGTGCAAATCTTTCTGTATCTGAGATCATAAAGTCTCATTAGCAGGGAAAAGTTCCTGCTGTTCCCCAGCTGTAAAATAAGGGATATCTGTGAGCTTGCACACATCAAGCTTTTCTTTAGGGTTTTTTTTCTATAAAATAATTTTGTAAAAGGAGATCTTCTTCCATCCATCTTTTGTTTTCCATAGTTCACAGTTTCATAAGCATTTAGCAGGGAAGTGCCAACTGAGAAACACATGTTTATGCAATTTGTCATCTCAGTTAATTCCTATCTTACAGCTCCAGGCCTGGCCCGAAGGAGCCATGAGCTGAAGCCTCTCAGATCCATTATCCATGGACATGTTAAGTGGGGATACATTTCTCCAAGCCCCAGTGGGGCACATCAAGAGTCACCAAAAGCCAGAGTTTTCCATCAGCATTAGGATTTGATTGAGCATAAATGATATTCAGGCCTTGACAGCCCTTCTTGTTAGAGAACAAATGGACAAGTAATTTGTTACTTGGAGACCTTTTGCTGACTAAAACCAGCCACAGTCAATCATATTAAGAGTCTGGCAGTTTGTAACACCAACTCTTCATTTTCTAGACAGGTAATTGATGAAGAAAGTTTTAGAGAAGGCTTTGCATGCTATTATGAGGAAAATGCTATGTAAGGAAAAAGAGCATCTCTATCAGCACTGTGCCCAGTAGGTGTTCAAAAAGTTTGGGAAGAGTTGCTTGGAGCAACTGGTCAAAGCAAAGGAAAGGATTACAGTAGGTAATTTCACATTTTCTGCTTCCCAAATAACCAGGGGAATGGGTTTTTTAGCTCTTCCCAGCCCACAGTGTTCGCCCTGTCAGGTTTAGCAGCAGCTGCACTGAGGCTTTTGCTTTCTCTGGTGGGGCAGTGCTCGTGCTTGGACCTGAGCAGACACACCAGCACAGCCCCACTCACCAGCAAGGATGTGCTTTCATCGGGTTGCAGTGGCTTTGGACTGGAATTTTGGTCTCCTTCAACTGGTCTAGGTCCTAAAAGGGCCAGTCCCCATCTCCAGGAATGCTGCTCCCCTTTATTTGGGTGAGTGACCTGGACAGAGAATGAGTGAGTGTATCCATGTGCAAAAGAGGTCTCAGTGGAAAGAGTTCAGGCCTGGGCTGTACCTTTATGGCCACTTATAATTTCTTAAAACAGCAATAACTTTCCTGAATTCCCTCTTGAACAGCCTTTTTTAAAAAAAAAAATTTTTACTTTTCCTTCTCCATTTCTAACACATGAGCTGTGTAGCTTTTGTTTATTCCCTTTGCTTCTTCGTGGCCACCCCACCCTTTGCCTGGCTGAGGTGAATTAAGAACAGCTACCCAAGAGCTGTGCAAGCTGATAAACTCATGAGGAAGACAACAGCTGCAAAGCTAATAAAGAATTACAGCAGGCTTGGGGCATCTGATTGTACATGTGTAAAAACTCAGATTATTGGTGTGTTCCCCAAGATGGAAATGGCCTTGCTGTGACCTGCCTGAACAATGTGTGTTCTGCTTGGCTTTGCAGGTTACTTAGTCCTGCCTCTGTGAAATCTGACCTCTCTGCACTCTGCTGTTGTGTTCCTTGGGAGATCCAGCGATCCCAGAGACTGAGCAAGGTCAAATGAGCCATTGGAAGCAAGAAGAAATGTTGTTCTGTGTATTTGCTGGAAATTGGAATGGGCCTATTACAGAAAGAAATATCAGGTTTTCTTTTGACTGGAATGTGCATCACACAGAGTTGAAACAGCAGCTGATGGGTCAGAACGATGTTTTTGCCTAATATTTTAAACTGTTCCCTTTCTTGCACCAGGGAGGAGGCATTTTACAATGTCTTTGTATGTAAAAAATACACGTGTGTGGATCACTGCATGGAATGCAGTCCATGCCAGCATTCCTCTGTGAGCCTGGCATGGGGAAAAGGCATTGGATTGCTCAGCTGGGGCCTTGCTCCTTCTCCTCCCGCTGCAGGACCAGAGCAGGGCACCCTTGCCATGGGAGAGTGAGCTGGGACCCCCAATGGGCCAAAATTCTCACCTTACCTCCGAGTTACCACAAACAGACCCATGTTCACCTTTATTTGTCTTATCTTTCTGTTCGCTATGGTGATTCAGGACAGAAGCAGATTTCAGACATATTTCATGGTTTGGATCATCCCTTGAGGTTAAAGCTGGAATAAGGGCCATGCTACAATAATGCTTTAGCAACAGGGCATCAGGGCCTGCCCTGCAAAGGTCCTGGTCATGGGGCCTCTGTTGTGGCAGAGAGTGAGAGAAGAGCTGGGCTGTGCCCTGCTCCTCCTGTTCCCTCAGGAGGGGCTGCTCCAGGAGGCAGCTCCCTGCAGACAGACTGTCCCTCTGCAGACCTGCCTCACACCTGGGGAGCTGTTATTCCCATTCATTTGCCTTTGTTTTCTTCATCTTTCCGTTGATCCCAGCCATGCAGGCAGGAAGAGAAAGTTCCAGCCGTGGAGCATTAGGATTCTGGAGTAAAAATAGATTTTGAGGTTAAATAAAAAGTGTATTCACACTTTCAGTGTTCTCTGCATCCCAGAGACATTCATTTTGGAATTGAACATCTCTTGAAAAGCAGGATTTAATTATATCCAGTTTCAATGATGTGAAACTGAAGTCACAAACTTGAGCCTTTTGTCTTCTAAGGCACAATTCTTTCTCTTGCATGTTCTCTCCAAAGAGCAGTCAGCGTGTGGGACTGTTCCAGGGCTTTGGAGCCCTTTCAATGAGCTTCCCCCTTTGAGGGTCCTGCCTGATGTCCCCTGGCATCTGCAGCTGGAGGAGCCAGCTCAGTGTCACTCCTTGTGCTGAGCCTGCCTCATCCTCTCATCCCTGCTGGCACTGTGGGAAAGATGGAATTTTCCACTTGCACCCCAGTGCAGAGGCTTGTTTGGTCCAGGGGGCTTTTTCAGGGAAGACAGTGGCATTGACTTCCCATGAGCTGAGGCTCCTGTCGTGGTGGGGTTAAAAATTCCAACATCTGCTGTGCATTTTCTTTTTTTAGCTGGGGTTGGAGAGGAAGAGGATGCCAGTGTGGTGCCCTTCATGCTGTGGTGGGAGGGGTGGGAGGAGAGCCTTTGTACATCAGGGAGTCTTCTGTGTGGTAGCCAAGAATTGTGTTAACTGCATAAATTCACAGCAGGATTTTTAATTGCTTGGAGCGTGGGATGGTGCAATGGTGGGATGGAAGGGCTGAACTGCTGGTGTGGGGTTGGGGAGCTGCTGCAGCAAAAGGGGCATCTGATCTCCCAGGCTGAGATCAGCACCATGGGACAGTTACCCGGAATTGGCCTCAGGTGAGATGCCTGGTGCTTCTGGGTGATCCGGGTGATCCAGGGTCAGGTGGGTCAACACAGAATGTGTGAGAAGGGAGTGGAAATTAGTTCTGTGCAGGGTTCATGAGGTTTGGTTCACTGGGAAGAGTCTGTAAGTAAAGCATTAAACCAAATCTCACAGAGAAACGCTGAGTTCCTGAAGAGAAACAGATTGTGGGAAGGGCCATCTGAAGGAGTCGGAGTTTAACAAAGTGTTCCCAGTGGAACAAGTGAGGAATGCTCTCCTTTTTTGGGGGGAGAAGGTCTCAAATCGAATTTTATTTAGGAATAATAGTCCAATGTGCAGAGTACTAAACTCTCCTCTGTGCCACCATTTCTAGAAAGTAGTTATGAAACAGTAACACCAGTTGGTCCAATTTAAGGAAAATACGTCCAAAATGGAGACATAAATGCCTGGAGAGAATGGGAGGGGGAAGATGCCTTTCTCTCTGTAAATGAGGTACCTTACAGCAGCACAGACTCCACTGGGCTACTCTCCAGAGAGGGTTTTTGGCTCACTCTGATGACAGAATTACTGGTTGCCACCAGATGCACCATAGAAGGGGATAGATCCTCCCCAGCACTGATTGCCAGGAGAAAAATGCATGTGGAATACTTTCAGTATGGGGAAAAAACCCTGATAATCCTCACTGGAGGACGCTTGAGGTGGAGCATTGCCATTTTTGGAGTTTGAGTAAACCATGTAAACCAGAGGTACAGGACTGACAAACACCGAGTGATCTTTTGCAGGTAACACACCATGGGGAAACGTTTGGGGGTTGTTGGTGATGAGAAAGCAAACGCCCTGACCAATGGAGAGAGAAGCCCTTGGTGTGCCTGGGAGGCTGCCAGGCCATTTCCCACATCCATCTGTGCCTGGAATATCAAATAGATGCAGCTCCACTGCCTGGAAGAGGGAGGAGGTGCCCTCTGACCTGCCTGTGTTGGGATGGTGCAGCCCAGCTCCCAAACTCACTGTGGGGAGATGAGGACACCCCTTCCTGTGCTGGCACCAGAAATTCCCCAGGTAACCTGTGTTGAGGTGGAGCAGCTTGTACCACACCGGGGCTGCAGCCAGCAAAATGTAAAATTAGCATTTCCTTCTCTTCTGGATGTTTTTCCCAGCAGTTCTATAGGTGCTAATCCCTGCTCATTTGAGCTGCTGCAGAGGCCTCTTGCAGTAAATGCTGCAATCTTCCAGTTGCACCTTGGAGAAATGGCATTCACAGTGAGCAGGACTATTTCAGGCAGAGCTGCAGGTAGCTATACCAACCTTATTCCAACCTCTTTCTCTACTTCTTTCTTTTCCCTTTATCTTTCTTTCTTTCTTTATGCTTCCCTCTTTCCTTAATCTCTTGTGGGTGACTTAAAAACCAGTGGATTGTTTTTCAGCAAGTTGCATGGGGTTGGTGTTTGCTGGGTACCTTTGTGGAATGCTTCCCCTTGGTTGGTTGTTACTCCTGGAAAACCCT